CACTTATGAAATCATATACCTCTCTTCTGGTCGTTCCCTCAATGCTGAGGATCGTGACTGTATGTCAATCTTCTCCACTCGGTCCGGATCTGCGCCATATGTACCGGTCCCTGTATCTGGCCACCAGTCACCTCCTTGAGTTGGTCCACCCATCTAGCTGGCGGTCTCCCTGTGAAATGGAGTGGAAGCAGCACGCTAGAGAAAGAGCGCCATCATATACCTAGCTCTACTAAAAATCCAATAAGCTGATAGTTTGTGCATGCAACATTTCATAGCTTGGTAGGCTGAGATGTAAAGTGGAACACACACAGTTCACTTTCACATCACTAATAATACTAGCTAGCTTATAAAACTGTATAATTTCATCGTTGTTGAAGTCTAGAAAATGTTAAAAGCAGGTATTTTCGTGCATCGTTAGGTAATCGTGTCGTGTTTTATGTAAATTTGCGAAATAAAACTCCCATGAAATTGCAATGCACAAAAACATTTTAATATTTAAATAACCTAATGCGATTTTTTTATATATTTGATCTCATATTTCACACTTTGAAGGTGCGTGCATGTTAAATACTCGTGTAATAAGGCCTAATTAAAGCCTCATACTAAGAGACATAGCTAAATTTTCGAAAAAAAAAAGAACTTTATTATATATTAGATAAGGCTATATAATCAAATAATAGCCCATTCTCTTTATATAATTATCGTATGCGTAATCTTTACGTTCATATTATGCTTATACTAATAGCAGTTGCATAATTAAAATAATAAGATATGGATTAAAATGTGCAGCTACTTTATGCATATATAAACGGACGGAGTGTCTTCATTATGTGTAATGAGTGTCGGACAAGATGATGTATGTTCATCGTGTCAACATAGGAACGAAAGTTGGTACCATAACGTTGTGATATAACAGTATCCGCGTATATTTGTATATGAATATAACTGGGACCACAGAGCAATAAATGAACAGTATGGCATTTTATTTCGCAAATATCACTGTTTTGTTAAATTCTCTTTCCGATTCCTAGGCGGGGTCGTTTTTATTTTTCTATTTGTAAATTATATAACTATTGGTCAAATTCATACTTACTTGGAGTGTTGAAATACGGCCGGTTAATATTATTTCATTGTATTTTAATATCTGTGGCTTTGATAAGTGTCTTTAAAAACTACGTGCTAATGTAAATTGTGAGGTAGTAGTTGATATAGTAGTCGCACGTTAAGTCTCCCCTTGAATATAGTAAATTAAACTATATCTGAGAAAGTTTCAATTTAGGTAAATTTCTACATTGCAGATTTATCAGCTCCAAACTAGAATTTCCTTTTATGCTATTGTAAGAAGCAGGCTGTGCTAGACCACGAATACTAGATACTGAATAGCATAGGAAACTCAAACCAGACCCGTTTTAAAGTAGCCAGATTTTGTAGGCTTATTAGACCAACGAGGCACTAAACTAAGCGATAGTTTATTCGTGGCCGTAACAAGCGGTATGGTGGTAACTATTGTGCAGCTTACAATACATCTTACCATCAGTAAAGGCCGATTGGCGATTGCAGTATGATGGTATAATTTTTTCTTTACCTATTCGCTGATAGGTGAGCTCACGGGTTCAACCTAAGAGAATTTGGTCAGTCCTGTCAAGAGCAGTTTTTCGCAAGCCTACGACCGGATCGGCATCGCGATTCACTGAGGAGATCGGCGAGAAACTCAGTGGGTCTGGTATAATACTCACAGAATTCTGACGCTCATTATCCGGTGAATTCCTTAGTTGCCTTTCACGACGCACATGGTAAAAGGTGAGATAGTGCTAAAATTCGATGTTATTATTAATCAATTAGCGATTAATTAGCTATAGTCACATCAGATTGTGTGTAAATAAAAGTAGAGCACATATCACAGAATATCAACTTATTTTCCTATTTTATTTCCTTTTTACTGTATCTGTTGACTACTTCGATATCAAAACGCGTGAATGTCGTCAACCAACTTGATGCTTAATTGGTAATCTTAATTGTATTGCGTATAACGTGTGATTTATAAACAAATCACATAATCATATCAATCAAATCACAAAAACATTTTGTTTTGTGCTCTTGATATGAGTCCTGGAGAGGCGTGAAATGTTAACTATAATCCAGAGTTCTATTATCTTAATTAATATATTTCATAAAGTACTTTAATAAAGAGTTTGGCTGTGTGGTGCCTATCAAAAATAGCGCTATCTCATATTTTATCAAGTGCGTCGTGAAAGGCAACAAAGGAATTCACCGGATAATGAGCGGCAGAATTCTATGAGTATTATACGATTTATACCAGACCCACTAAGTTTCTCACCGGATCTTCTCAGTGGGTCGCGATTCCAATCCGGTCGTAGACTTGCGAAGAACTGATTTGTAAACAAATCACACGTGGTATTGCCCCCCTTTTTGACGCCCGCAGGAAAACACGGAGTGATCCTAGTCTCTCCTGACCGTAGTTATTTTAATATTGTTGTTTACCAAAATTATGTTCTCTACTGAATATTATTATATCGTACGTCGGTGGGAGCGTGGCGCCGGCGCAAGCAGTGAAAGTTTACTCGTATCTTGCCTGTGGTTTCACCGCAGTTCTTTGCGGCATGTCTTCCATCTGATCTCCGATATCTGCTTTTATTTTATTTTAGTCGTAAAATCGTTTACGTGAAGTATGAATAAACTAGTACGATCTTTAAGTATCTTTCACGTCGGCTGTAACGGAATCATAATCGAAAAGGAAGACGGCTTATAACTGAATATTTTTAAGGCATCTAACTGCTAACAAAATAAGTCTAGTTACATCATAATACATTAATGGCATTAAAATTTTATACAAAGATGACATGTGAGAATCGTTGCTTGAAACTAATGCGAATGTTGGTGATGCATAGCGTTCAATGTAACATAATTTAAAAATGAAGATTTTACATACAAATCCTCGTTATCATGCGGCCCCATGAAATATGATTTTATTAAAATAACGAATATTTGTATTTAATTTTGGTACTACAAATTTCGATATTTTTTTAGCCATGAATTTATAAATGTCTGTGTTTATGTAATTAATTAAAGCAATTATGTGCTACTATTAAACTACTGGTTTATGTATGAGTTATCACACCTAAGGTAACAACAGAAAATACTTACTGAACTTTCCTTCAGGGCTAGCAGGGTTTTTGTGTACATGTACCGGAATAAATCATCTTTTTTCACGTAATACTAACTAAGTTCAGCACCACAGAAATAGTTATAAGTTGTTAGATTCATGTCGAGTGGTTCATGTGTTTTTATTAGAGCGAATAGAATTGCGTAATTGAAGACACTCATCCATGTGAAACTTCCAACTTACGTTTATGCCTTTGCCTTGTGTGAAGTTTTGTAACGTATTTTTTTTAGAATTGGACTGGATCAACAAAGCACCAAGAAACTGAAAAGTTTATTTTAAAAGCTTATATTTAATGTTATAGTTAAGTCTCGATGAAGAATTTTCACTCATTAAATTAAATCAAAGACTAAAAAAACAGATTGATTTTAAAAGTAGAATAATTGAACTGTTTCTTTTTATTTCTATAGTTTTGTTTACACTAAATAATTATAACTAATACTTTTTCTAACGATTTAAAAAAAAACCTTTAAAAAGTCAATGTTCGAGACTTACTTATACGTAACGACTTTAAAAATGTCAGTTACAACAGCAAAACATTTTTTTTAAGGCGGAACTTACAAAGAGAAATAGTGACGAGATTCTGTTTATTATTGAGCAGTATTAATAGGTAGAAAGACCGAGTTAATGCTCACAGCTCTCCATAAGCTTTTCGATTAGTCAGGATGGTACAACGTTAACATTATCCGGCTTTAGTGATGATTCGATTGGGTCTTAACTATGGAGGAATAACAACTATATTTTTGTGCAAAAGTTATAAAGGCACCTCGACTTGAGTGTGCCAAAATACGATTCGTGAGGTGATCCATACTATCTACTCCTTACTGCCTACTCTATAGATCTATACTACCTGGAGCCACTACGTTCATCCACAGTGCGTTTTCAGACATCTTTTTTGCCACGTATCATCCGGCTTTGGAATGAGCTTCCTTCCACGGTGTTTCCCGAGCGCTATGACATGTCTTTCTTCAAACGAGGCTTGTGGAGAGTATTAAACGGTAGGCAGCGGCTTGGCTCTGCCCCTGGCATTGCTGAAGTCCATGGGCGACGGTACCCACTCACTTTAAGGTGGGCCGTATACTCGTCTGCCTATACGGCAATAAAAAAAAGATTATGGCTCCTAACAGCACCGTGTGCAAAATTAAAGCTCCTTTTCCGGTTTGTAGTTTGGGCTATGTCCAGCACTGTGAATACTAATAAAAATAACATATGCATTAACCAAATATGTTTCTATCAGGACTCGACAGTGAGTCATGAAGCTTAATCCACCTAAATGTGGTTGAAAGGATGTTTTTTTTCCTTTGACAGAACTGAGAACTGGCCGTCATCTGATCCCGATTTTAATCCGCTTGCTTATGTTTTACGATGACTTTTAGAGATAATGCTAAGATAAATAACTAATTTCGAGCCGCTAAACGTTAAACGAAACTGGCAGAGGCGAATTTTCCCACGAAGTAAATGCGTGTTTCAGTCGATAACTGCCAGCAAANTGAAAGGATGTTTTTTTTCCTTTGACAGAACTGAGAACTGGCCGTCATCTGATCCCGATTTTAATCCGCTTGCTTATGTTTTACGATGACTTTTAGAGATAATGCTAAGATAAATAACTAATTTCGAGCCGCTAAACGTTAAACGAAACTGGCAGAGGCGAATTTTCCCACGAAGTAAATGCGTGTTTCAGTCGATAACTGCCAGCAAAGACTAAATGATAGGACCTTTACATTTTAAAATGCTGTTTTTGCGATTTTATGTTATGGTATGGTACATAAAATTTTCACGTAAAAATGACAATGTCTTTCATGTGATGTATCTTGTGCAGGTGGCACTGGCGGCGGGTGGCGGGTGACGGCACTGGCTCGACAGCGGAGCGTGGTGCCGAGATGAGCGGTGTGCTGAATGGGCCTCCGCCGCTATCCGCTGCTGAGGCGCTCTCCTCGTTGCTGTGGCAGCCGTACGAGTGTCGGTCGCCGCCCTTCGCTCGCTCCCGCACTGATGGCGCTCTCGCGACCGCGACCGACTTCAGAGTCGGCGATGGCGGGGGGGACGCCGGGGACGCGCTCCAGTCGCCGAACGGCGGTCGACATGCGCGCGCGTCGTTCAGCGCGATTACATCCCGCCACGAGATGCGGCTGCCTGTGCCGGCGCCCGCGCCTCTACGAAAATCGGATTCGGTCTCGGTGCGCGTTCCGGGCGAACCGAGCCGACTCAACGTGTCCAGTGTGAACATAGTGCAGGTTCAGGATGAGCCTTCGGGTTGTAATGTGAACAGTGCTGTGCAGACCGAGAGGGCGAGGAATGTTGTCAGCGCGGAGTGTCAAACGGAGGAGCCGGCCCGGAGACGTCGCGCGCGACGTGCTCGTGCGCCCCGGGTACCTGAGTTGGTGGAGAGCGTGCCTCCGCCACCGTATAGCACGTTGCCGCCACCGCACCCGGTGCCGGTCCCGCTTCCAGTGCATCCACCGCCGGCGCCCATCATCGCGCCGCATCCGCCCGCTCACCGCTTTCCCTTCCAGCCAATTCCACTCAGGTGCGGATCCATTAACAATACATCAAATCTCAATCGTACGGCACCGTAAATGCAACCTATTGACATTAACTGGTGCGTCTTGGTGATTGCATTCACTCTGTTTTAACTTTGACTCAATAGGAAAGATAAATAATTTTCACTGCTTTACAATACTTTTAGTTAGATTATCCTATATTTTTTAGATATTGTGGGTTAAATGCTCATTCCAAATTTGTAATCTATGCAATTTACAAAAATAAGTTAATCATTTTACATCATTTTTATTGATATCTTGTAGTTTTTTCTAGGTACACATTATACATTGCCTACTTGCATTTTAATGTTTGGCTTAAAATCTAGATTCCGAAATCTACATAATGCAAATGACATTTCGTTCTGAAGCTTGTTTACAATTTTTTTGCCACTAAATGATGTTTTGTCGAGTCGAATCGCAAACAGAAAGTTAATTTCAAAAGTAGAACGGATCCGGTAGTTTGGAATCGAAAGCTGCCTAAAAACGACTTCAACTACCTGATGACTTAAAAGCGTTATTTTCAACTAAAGCTATATATGTAGCTATAATTTAATTAGGAAAATGATTTTTTTTTATATTTATGTTAGCATCATAGTAATTTATTTATTTCATACTAGCGACCCGCCCTCGCTTCGCTTCGGAAACATTAAAACACACATGAAATCAAAAAAAAAATCAAAAATAAAATAAAAAAGGTAGCCTATGTTCATCAGGGACAATGTCGGCTTCTAATGGAAAAATAATTTTTCAAATCGGTCCAGTAGTTTCCGAGCCTATTCGAAACAAACAAACAAACAAATCTTTCCTCTTTATAATATTAGTATAGATGTCCTACAAATTGTATCTAGTTGCAAAATGTTAGTGCCTCTTAAATTCGTATGTTAAATATTTTGATTGTTACTCAGAATAAATGTTTTACTTGAACTAGCGAGACAACATTCAAAATTGTTAATTATTAGAGCTACAATTTCCGTACTATATAAATTATATTGATTTAATGAAATTTCTGGTGATCTTAAAACAACGTATTCTTATTTTGTTCTTGCACTATAAGATTAGAATGGGACTTTTTGGCGGAAACGCGAGGAGTGAAGTTGTGTGATTTGTTTTATTTTGTCTATTTAGTGTTTCTTCAAGTTTAAATGTGTAATAACGGTGGTTTATTAACTGTTTAATAACTGTTAAAGTGCACAAATGTGGGAAAATGAAACAAAACCGCTGGACGCAACTTCTCGGGATCCTCCAAAAAGTCCACTGAAAAAATCTTAGTAAATGACCACCATTTTACTAAGATTATATTTCATCCCATATCATTTAATTTCATCCCAGTTGATTAATGTCTCAAATTAATCATTTTCATTTCATTTCACTCCATATTATCATTTTTCATAAAAATAAGAATATAAATTAAAATAAGACATGACTTAAAGGTCTTAGTTACCAGGTCATAAAATCACTTCAAAAAAAAAAAAGATTAGAATCAGAAAATCTTCTTTATGCCCTGAAGTATTATCGTTAATTCATTTTTAAACTTGTATTTTAAATTAATGTAACAAAAGTTGGCAATTCTTCTAAATTTATTTTGTGTTATCGTTCTTGGGAGCGAACACCCCTAGTTCAAAAAAAAAACAATAAAAGAAAAATGACAATTTACATCAAATTTATTCTAAATTTGAGAACCTACTTTTTTAAACTCCACGAACAGTTAATTTATGGTTAGTTCGTAACTTTCGTCACCACACAATGAAATTCAGTGTAACATACAAAAAAAAAATTACACATTCGCGACACGCAACGCTTTTTTTTTATTTCAATTTGTAATTGTTGCGGTCATGCTACGTTTATATGGCCGCTAAGGTGGCCTCGTTATGTAAGCAGATTGTTTACACATACAATTTGTTTACTCAGCAAGGTCGTTCTGTGTAAAGTTGGGTGAGCGCCTGCAATGTTCAAGAGAGCCCATTGTTGTATGTCGCGATATTTTAGAGCGTAGAGACGCGCACGCAAACTGATTTTCGAAATCGATAATTTTGAGGAGTTAAACAAAGAATTAGCACTGGTAAAATTAACATTCACACTGCATTATCTTAATTTATGCTATTTTTAATGTATATTAATTGGTTATCGGAGTTTATAAATTACAACGTAGGTGCAGCCATCCACCTACTTGAGAAGGGTCATGAAGTTTAAATCTCAATTATCTATACTAATATTATAAAGAGGAAAGATTTGTTTGTTTGTTTGTTTCGAATAGGCTCCGAAACTACTGGACCGATTTGAAAAATTCTTTTTCCATTTGAATCCGACATTGTCCCTGATGAACATAGGCTACTTTTTTTTTTGTTTGTTTCATGTGTGTTTTAATGTTTCCGAAGCGAAGCGAGGGCGGGTCGCTAGTCTAATATAAAAGGCTGTTCCACCCATCAAATAAACGACAAATATAAATCGGTTGACAAACAAAAATCTAATTATAAATTTTGAGCTATTTCAACGTGACGCCATACGCTGTTGGCTTGATCGTCTCGTGCGAAAAAGTGTTTTTACTATAAAAAATGGCATAATCACTGGGATATGTAGATGATAATCGTTTCTGTATACGAAATTATTGGTGGTAGGACCTCTTGTGAGTCCGCACGGGTAGGTACCACCACCCTGCCTATTTCTGCCGTGAAGCAGTAATGCGATTCGGTTTGAAGGGTGAGGCAGCCGTTGTAACTATACTGAGACCTTAGAACTTATATCTCAAGGTGGGTGACGCATTTACGTCGTAGATGTCTATGGGCTCCAGTAACCACTTAACACCAGGTGGGCTGTGAGCTAAACAACCAACTAAGCAATAAAAAAAAAACGAAATCACCTACATTAGCTCGTTACAAAAATCAGGGATTCTTTTAANCGGTTTGAAGGGTGAGGCAGCCGTTGTAACTATACTGAGACCTTAGAACTTATATCTCAAGGTGGGTGACGCATTTACGTCGTAGATGTCTATGGGCTCCAGTAACCACTTAACACCAGGTGGGCTGTGAGCTAAACAACCAACTAAGCAATAAAAAAAAAACGAAATCACCTACATTAGCTCGTTACAAAAATCAGGGATTCTTTTAAGTCATAACTTGGTATGATGACTTGCTTAACAATCCGACGAAATTCAATGGATTCTAATTGCAAACTAGGCGAGTCTAAGCATTCTGTTGATTTCTAATTAATAAGTATATAGCGTATGCATAGTGTAATAATAGACCTTAACAGGCGCGAATTTGGACTACTGGTGCCATGTTATCGGTCGAGTCAACTATTACCAATTTCTGCCCCTAAGTAGTGATGCGTTGTGATTTTATAGTTCAGTTCGATGATTGTCTTGCAATTGTCTTGTATTGGTTACGTTTTTGTGCATCTGTGCTTACTATTGCCAACGAAAACCCTTAAATTCAAGCCAGAATGTACTTCTAGCGTGCAACATTAAATCAAAAAGGTATTAAACGTATCAAAACTTCATGCAGACAAAAGACCTGTTCTAAATTTAAATGAAACCGTCAAAGAAGTTTTAATAATGTCCACGAATCGCGAACGACATAGATAATAAATACTGTTTTAAAATATTAGCACAGCTATAAAAAAACCAACGTTGGTTTGTTGATTTTTAAAAGTTCATAAATAGTTCGACCTCTTGATATTCAATTTCAGTTTTGTTAACAATAGTTTTAATCGTTAAATTTTATACGGACCATTTGAAAGGAACTCAAACATGCAGTTTTGTATGTTACTGGCACGAATTTGCTTTTACCGATTGGAATGTAATACGCTTTTTAAATATCATTGTTACCGTTAGCTAAATGATTAATTTGTTTATTAATAATATTTTTTCGACATGTGTCCGATGCGCGCGGTGACGATTTCGTAGTTCTACTATGCTTGCAATAAAACTTATTATAATTACAAATTTTACCATTAAATTAAAGTAATTTTAGAAATTTCAAAGTTTGTATCTTTGAAAATTAGGTGTTTGTCTCTCAATCACGCAAAAATTAATGATCGTATTTGTATAATATTTCGACAAATATTGCATATAACTAACTATTTTAATACATAGGATACTTTTTATTATGGTAAAAAACATGTGCACAGACAACGCCTGGTATATCTGCTATAATAAATACGACAGGGTCCTCGCTGATTCGTCGTGGCTTTCTGTACCAGTGGATTTGTAAATCAACCACTAGTTTACGGACCAAAGAGTGACATAAGAAACTCTTTATTATAACAATATTTCGAATTAACGAATTCAACACGGGCAAAACCGAGAGGCACGTGTAGTCTGAAAATAATTACAAGTCACAATATAATCATAAATTAATAATTGTGGATCTTTGTTCGTATTATGACCCCGGAGGGGTAGGTGGGTAGGCATACACGTGCTGTCTATAGTCTCCGATAATAGCTGAACACTGCTTAGTGCGAGTTTTTAACGTTCTCGATAGCGTAAAAGTTAACTCAAATTTGTATGCAGTTGGAACAGCGCCCCTAGCGACAAACGTAGGCAAACGTTTCAACTCCATACAAATTTAAGTTAACTTTTACGTTATCGAGAACGTTCAAAAACACGCACTAAGCACACAGGTTGACAGCGAGATCGTCTGCTCCAATTAAAACATTTATGCATTTTTAAAATTCGATCAACAATAATAATTGCATTCAGAGCCACGTAACCTCTAACTGCAGGCTCTGAGGCACCTGAAACAAGTACTCAAGTACAGTTAAAGTGTACTAAAGGTACTTGAATAAGTTCTTAGTTGTATAGTAAGCGACTGTGTGGTCGTTTCGGAACAGGTTCTGAGTCGGCCACATGGTGGAAAGTGGCGGCATGTAGGCTGCTCCAAGACAGAACTATAATCTCAAAATTTGTGTTTATTTTTATTCGATTATTAAGTCTAAATTGTTATGAAAATAGTGCTAATAGTTTGAAGTTGAAAAATATGTGTTCGCAGAT